GCACTCGGCAGTAGTGGTGCGTGGCGGCTGTGGCGGGTCCTGTATGGCACTGTCCACAGGGCCCCCCAAAACGCAGGGCCTGAGGTGGTCGCCCCGATTCGCCCCCCCTAGAAGCATCCCTGATTAAGCTACTGTGCCCTAATGTCACTAAAGAGGCATTTGTTGGTGCTACTGCACAGTCATTCTGGTTACTGCACATTTATTTAGTACTTGATTATACAAATGCTAAATTAAATGCCCCATAACCTCTGCACATGAATGAATATGTAGATGCACCCAGTGACGGGGAAACCCTAGTGGTAGTTTCCCTTCAGAGAAGAGCAACTTCCCGCAATGAAAGTTACTGCTATTCCATAATTAAACAGTAGATAACCAAATGTGATGAGATTTCATTTGCTGACCAAAAAAAAAAGAGCTAAGAGGCAAAATCTGATGGAGTTTTATATCAATATTAAACAATAGAACTAAAAAAAAAGAGATAGAAATCTAAAGGTTTTGATAAAAGGGAGAGAAAAGGAAAATAGCTGCAGGGAGTTTCTGTCAGTATTCAGCCATTAGAAACAAAGCGTGAGGGGCTGGGGAATTTTATTAGTGTAAAAGGAGCAAAATAATTTGATTCTCAAATATGGAGGAGATAGCTGACTGAAGGGAGGTTTAAGTCACTATATCTTCCCTACAGTTCCCTCAGTCATGGACTCAGGACAACTGGTCACCTTCAAACCAAAAATTACCTACACTTAATAGACAAAAAAAAGGGCAAAAGCTGGGGGAATTTTATATGCACATTCAGTAAATAACTAGAAAACTATTTTCTGCTCTGGCTTTCTGTTCTCACAAGCAGTGAGACGCTCTGGATGATTCGTCTGTAAACGGGAAAGAGAGGATAGGGATAGAACTAGAAAAAATGGAATTTCTGCAACAACCCACACAGCAAATTGGCTTCCTTTTGTGAATGCCAAACATTTGAATATATTGTGTGTATATATATATATATATACACACACACACACACACATACTCAATTCAGTTGGAAGCAAATACTCTCCCATGCCTTTGGCGTCTGCTCTTTGAGTCATGGGAAGATGGGACTACAAGGGACCTCCCAGGCCATGGAGCCCAGTCCTTTGCATTCATAAACACTGATGTAATAAACCTGTGTCCAAAAAGCATCTATCTACAAGCACTCTGGCACATACATCCACAACACGCTGCAAGGCCACAGGGAGAGAGCAGCAGAGATAATGTGCTGTGAAGGCCTCTTACACTTTGGACATTGCAGTGGAAGGGAATGTGTTTGGTAAAGACCATCATCTAATCCCAAGAAATGCATCATGCCCCTGTTGCACCAGAAGTAAAAAAAAAAGAAAAAAGAGTTGATGTCAGTATAACCTGGGGTGAAATTCTTCCCTCTGGCAATCAGTTTAAGTATATGATCAAGAGGCATCAGTCACAAACCTGAAAGGTTATTCAGTGGGCACTAACACACTGGAATCAGCCTCCCAGCACAGGCTGAATGACAAAAGTGGGAAAAACCCCTTGAATTCAAATAATCATTTTGGCAAAGTTGGGGAGGTACTTTCTTACTGGCCCCTGGATACAACTAGTGGAAGCTATGAAGCACTGGGCTAAAAAACAGAGGTTGGATTTAATCTGGGGTGGTTTAAATTACAACCAGGAATCCACAGGAAATTGCACAGTAGGGTCAACTTTCAGGGTGGGGAATGGAGGAGAATTATTTATAGAGGCAGTTTGAATGGCAATTAACTCAAATTTGCTGCTATTGTCCTTGCCAGAGTGCTAATTTAGATACTTCACAGGTACCTAACATAGGACAACAGGGTTCCCTATAGGATCCCAAGACAAAAGGCTTCAGAGTTTCCTTGGAGAAATCTAACCTCTGTTTTTAGACTTGGATTTCTAAACACTTTCCACATATATCAACAGCCCACGCAGTAGATTGGCTTCCTTTCATGAATGCCAAATATTTGAAACAGCTACAGATATATATATATATATATGCTGTTTCAAATATATACTGATTTCTACTCCAAGTACACCCCTATCCTAATACTCTCCTCCATAAATTGATCAAGCTCTATCAGGATTTCAGTTTTCATCAAAGTCATCAGTATTTAGTTTTCATGGTTATAAAGAAAACACAGCCCCAGGGTAATACATCAATGCCTGCCTGAGTTGTAGAGAGCCTCATGGAGTAATAGAGAAGTAGGGCTGGAAGGGATGTCCAGAGGCCATCCAGCCCACCCTCCTGCCTGAAGCAGGTTCACCCCCATCCCAACAATCCCATACAGCCACAATCTGAACTCTACAAACAATCAGGCTACAGATGGGGGAGCAGACAGCAGGGCAGCACAGCCCTGGGCATCTCAATAAAATCTTATCTCCCAACCCAATTTCTTAGAAATCTTAGTCTGACACTTTGCAGAGGACTCTGTGTATGTCAAAAGAAGAAGAGCACAGCAGTCCAGCTCCCAGCTCTTACCAAACAAATACTGCTGAGATGATCAATGCGTGGAGGTGTTTCCCTGCTTCCAGCCCACCACCCTTTTAAGTGGGGGTCAGAGTCACAAGGGTCTCATTTTGTGATGTGCCTTGTTCCCCAGATTGCCTTAATCCATTCCTGGCAACAGATTGCAAGGGGGGGGGAATAAACAGGATTGATAGCTGGTTGAGGGAAACTGGGAAACAACAGAAAATGGGATCTGGATGTTGCATAGACAGCTGCTGATATAGGGTATGATGACATCTGGATGAATGCCTTCTGTTGGCAGTTTACCACAGTGCTGTTAGGGGCTTCAGGTGCTGGATCCAGAGTTTTTAAACCTCTGGAGTCTGAACTGAGCCTAGTGTCCCTATCTTGGTGTCTCTAGATAACTGTCAAGATACAGAGTCTCCTGACTTACACCCCACCCTGAGAGTTTCCCCTTCTTTTCAGCTGCTGGTTCTCAGCATCCAGGACTTCCATTTGTAACTGGCCTGTTATGCTTCATTTTGATTAGGGAGCGGGAGAAACTATTCTGATCTAAAATCCTGATTTACTGAACACTTAAGCAATACCACTACTCAAGCAAAACCCCAGTCCGTTAAGGTATTTTTATGTAGGCCTGCCAAAAAATGAATGAAGACTCAGCTGGCCAGGCATCCTCATGGCACTGGGGCTTGCAGTTTTGACCAGCATGGTCTCCTCCTGCTTAGGGACAGCTCCCTAAAACTTAAGTTTTTTGCTTAAGCTTTTATACCCTTTTTACAGCCCTCCTCTGTATATGCCATATATGGTCATGCTATAGATTCTCCCAAATTACCTTTTCCTTTGGTTATTCCCTCATCAATCTATCTCCCTCAGCCTGTTTCCTTTTAACTTACTTCTCACCTACTGAGCCATCCTCGGGCTTGTTTTGCTTCTCTAGTTTATCTTGTTTTTCTACATTTTACAGCTATCTACATTTTGTTTTGCCTTCAACAGAGGTTTAGGTTGCCTTTGTGCTCATTTCACTTGCAGCTCATGGTGTCTGTTCAAAAAAAATTGCATCAGTTATGTCAAGGCAGCTGACAGGCCTACATGGCTTACATCCCATTTCACTTTATGTGCTTAAATGGCATACGTAGCCTACTGACTGACCACACTGACTAGTGAAGACTATGGACCTAGCAAAAGTCCAGCTATGAATGACATGTGCTTAAGATGATATATATAATCAGTAATTAATAAGCTTCCATTTAAATTACAAGCAATAGCATGAGAAAGTAGAATAAGAATCTGTTTATCAAGCTATTAATACTAGACTAGGCCGAGAATGAATAACTGCTTTTTTGGAAAGGTCTGAACAGCAGCTAGAAGTAGCAACTGATGTTTTGTTTTGTTAACCAGTGAGGCTCATCCACTAGACAGCCATGGGAGGAAGATTTGTAGGGCAAGAAAAAAGAATACAAATCAAAGGATGTGTCATTTAGTGAGACAAATGCTAATCTGTAGGGAAGGTGACCCAAGGTCCTAGCCTGGGGTCTTGGCTTTCAGTCAGGTAGGAAGTCTCTCAATGCTGCTTACTCATTTTCCCAAATGACTATTAGATGAAAGACATCTTCAAGAGCTGAGCTGGAGAGGTCCCTGGTCTGATGGTCAGTGGATTTCGCTGGGGAGCATGAGGTGCAGATTTGAGCATGTCCTGCTCTTTGCATAAGTGCTGTAAATGCTAGGCCAGGGGTGTCCAACATATGACCTGTGAGCCAGATCTAGCCTGCAATCACTTCATCTCTCCCACCGTGCTACCAGCAGTCTGTGGAAGTTGGGGATGGAGCCAGCAGTGGGTGCAGCCTGCCATGGAATCCAAGACCCTGGGCCCTAGCGGACGTAGCCCTCCGTGGAGGAGAAAGCGATGGCTATGTTAATACATCCCTGCTTACCTAACAGCTGTTTGGCCCAATACCACTCCTGTGGTAAGCAGCTTGCGGCTACTTGTCCTACCATCACCAGTCGCACCACAGCCGCTAGCAGTCCCACCAGTCCCACCACCACCACTGCTGGCCCTGCCACAGCCATAGCCAGCAATGGTCCTGCTGCCGCTCCATGCCATGAGCCCAATCTGGCCCAGGGCACAGGATGAGTTTGATACCCCTGCACTAGGCAATTGACCTATTGTGAAAAGTGTGAAAAGTCCCCTTTGTACTCTGGTATCTAATTCCTTCTAGTCCAGTTTTTTGCCTGACTAAAATTTTAGGACTTCTACAGATTCCTGCATAATTCTGTTCCTCCCTCCAGGTGTCTGGCCAGAGAGTAGTCCTACTAAGCCAACCCAGTAAGCTAGCAGGGGCAATGCTAAATCACCAACTCTGAGTAACAGAACCTGCATTTACATGCTACATGCATGTTGGTCAGGTACATGAAGTGAAATAGGATTTAGCCCATACTTTCCCAGAATCCCACCCCAGCTCCTTTACAGTTCAGCTCTTTGGGAGATATGTGATAGATGTTAGTAAATACTTACAGAAAGAGTTTACACTGAGTTTCAGATCACACCGTTCTTTTTTTTATTTCAGATGCCCTCTGCAGACATGGAGAATGGTATGTTGCTGCCATTCATTTCTGTGCAGGGCTTGTATCTTCATTAAGCCCAGCTCCCTGTGTATGATGTCCGGTTCTTGGACCTTGGTTGTATTCTTGGTTGACAAAAATGCCAAAAGGGGAAGAGGAGAGGTGGACAGAAGGTCCAGTGTGTGTAGAGGGGAAGAGAAATGGCACAGAATAGAAAGAAGGGGGACTATTCACTGGAAATACACAAAAGGGCAAGTTAAAGTGTAACCAAAGGGTATCATGTGTGACAGGCGACTCTCAGTGCTTGCTTCACAGAGGAAATAAGTTGTTCATATCCAAAACTAGCATTTTAGCTCAAGCTGCAAATTCAGCTTTTAGCTCCAGAGGTGGCTCTGGTGTTGATCAATGAATACTTATCACATGATAGAGAAAAGAAGACTACATAAATTAATTGACTTTTAAAGTCTTTAAATTTGGCCTTTAAATGCAGTGTTTAACTGTTAAGAAAATGCACGTTCTTTACCCAGCGATGATTGAAGGCTTCGCTGCACAAACAAGATATCATAAAGCAGAAGCTAGAAGGTGAACTTGCAGCTTGTCAGCTACTCCACTGTAAAGATTAGATCCTTCTGTTACAGGGATGGCCAGCCAGCGCCATGAGTGCTACAAGTGGCAGGGGCAGCCTCTGTGCATGGCACCCAGCAGATCAGAGAGGGGCAGGCAGCGCAGCAGCTATGAGAGCAGGAAGCAGATAACAGAACAGACTGGGCAGGGAGCACAGTGCTAGCAGCAGAAAGCAGAGGTGATAATCAGGCAAGGAGTACAGAGTAGGGAGCAGCAAGCAGAGCAGCAGATTGGTCAGAGGATGGGGATCAGAGTGGCAGTGAGCTTGGCCCCCTACTGTTCTATCAGATGCTCTAAATGGATCTAGGCCCCTAAGTATGGTCCTATTCCACCCAAGTTCCTAGAAAACAGGTAATGTTAAAATTGGGTGTGTCCTCCTCCTGCTTACTGTTTTTTGTGACTTAGTTTTAAGACTAAGATGATATGCTATAAAAGTATGCATGCTAACATTTTTTCAGGGACTTGAGCAAGGCAGAGAGGCTCACACTTAGATGCCTAATAAGTAGAATAGGATCTGGCATGTTTATCAATGTGCACATTCTTACCACACAGCAAATGTGAGCAAACTCACACGTACCATTGGAAAAGAGCACATATGTTGGCAGTTATCACACAGTACCTGATATGGTCCAAAATCACACTTCAGCTGATGCCCCAATAACTTTTTTGTGTCCCTTGCCATGAATTTTCACCTCTTCAGGTTGTACAGGCTGGATTTTCAAGAGCACTCAGCTACTCCCATTGACAGCCATGGGGAATCCTGCCTCTCCACATCACTCCTCCACTAAATAAAATGGGAGCTGCTGGGTACAGAGCATTTTGTAAATCTAGCCCAAAATAGAAAGGATAATTCACCCTTTGCCAGAGAATAAGTCTGAATTTCTTAAATTCTGGATCATGAGATACCATTCTTAATGCTGGACAGTCACTATTGTTGCATGTTGACATTATTGTAGCATCCAGCTATTCAGTCAGACATCACTTGGGAGACTTAAAACACTTCACTATTACTGACCACTGGGGTAGAATAATTCCAGTATTCAGAAAGCCACAACAGCTTAGGGCAGGCAGTCAAGAAGAATCTCACATCCACTTGATCCTGTAATGGGTCTCTTAGAGGGGCAGATTTGGATAGAACCCAGACTGAGATTTGCATAGGAAAGAGAGAGGACCAGATCCCCCAGAAAAGACCTTGACATCTCAAATGGGAATTGGGTGGAATTTAGGCACCTAAGTTCCCAACTGCAATTCTGAAAACCTCAACTTTGTGGTCACCTGAAGGCCCCTAAACTCTGCAGGAATGTTTCTGGTCTTTATTGCATGCCTGAATCACGTAAAATACCAGAACAGCCCTGGAAGAAGGGAGTGGTCCCCAGGGCTCCCGTCTCCCAGGGACATGCCCTAACCACCAAGCCTCAGAGGATTCTTCTTTTGTGCTTTTTCTCTGGCCCAGTGAATCTTGCCTTCTTTGCAGTACTATAGCACAGATTCACTGTGGAGGACTGGAGAATGCCTTTCTGCAAACTGGTTATACAGCAGGGGTTGAAAGTAACCCCAGGTCTTCCACTTACTAGGCATGTACTCTAACCACTATTATATAAAGACTAATATATAAAAGGGGCACACTACACCCTCCAGCTATGTTTTAATGACTGAGGCCTTCTTGGCTTTGTCAGTTCTTTAAAAGAACGAGTACAGGTGCCTGTCTTCAGCAGAGGGCCTAAGGCTTTGTATCCTGAATGAACAGAGGTTCCCCTCCCTGCAACACTTGTGGGGAGAATTTCAAGCACACCCTTGTCCTAACCTTTGCCAGATCCCTGTTTAGCATGCTGATTATTTTGGGTCCTCATGTAGTGAATCTAAATGCCTAACGTAGGCTTCTGAATTTTATTCAGGAGCTAGGCAAAGTACCAACATCCTTTGCAAAATCTGGCTCTGATCACCTTATCTTTACCAAAGAGTGCTTTAATGAGAGGAAGAATTAAAACAGTTTGCTTACTTCCAATCGACAACAAGTCCTGATAATAATGTTGGAGTACTGGAGTCACCTTTTCCAGGAAGACCTCTGCCAATTGTGTCTCAAATCCAACTTAACCCTTTCATTTTCCCTAATCCAAATGCCACTGCCCAGTCCTGCACACATTTTTGTTTTAGGGAATGTCAAAGCCTTATGTTACTGGGCTACAGATGACCTTAGAATAAGCCAACCCCAGTAGGCATCTAGGCAACACATAAATGTACTGAGAAAGGGAACAGGATGAGCAAATGGTTGTTCTGATTCAGTGGTGATCTCTCAAAAAAAAGCAATAAAAAATTAACAATAATTAAGCAGAGTGATTTTCCTGAATAGCTACTGATTACAGGCACACCAACAATAGACCAATATGTGCAAGGGTAGCATCTGATTTAGGTGTTTAAAGGATTCTAAAATTGCTCCCTTTAAAAGAGAAAGTGGTATAGATTTGGTCTCAATTATCCCAGACTCCTCCCTTTGTAGGTGAACAAAATCCAGAAAAAGGGGATAGCTGCTGCTGTTGCTACAAGAGAAATGGGTTTCTCTACTTGTCTTGGGAGGGGAGCAGGAGTCATACCAGCTCAGAGTGAACTCTTGGGTTCATTTGAATTCTGCTGGGGATGCAACAAGTTCCCTGAACCAATGAAATCTGGGAAGGGAAAGCAGAAAGAGACTGGAGCCCAGAGACAATAAGAACCACAAGAGTAAAATACCAAAAGTGCTTATTTGGTTTAAACATGTTGTTAATTGCTACTTATTCTACAGTGTGCATAGTCAAGTTCCCATGCACCCCAGAGGGGCTAGCATGGTCTTTCCTATTACAGCACAGAAAGAGAAAGAGAAGGTTAGTAATCGAAGGGGTTAATTATACATTAGAATATTAAAAGGATAATCCCCCGTTCCAAACAGTGCAGGGGGAGCAGCCCTTGTTTGCCTTTGGAGAGCAAAACAGATGTGAATATGCTGCTGCTGAAGAGAGCCCCTTAGTATCCACAGCACTAAAACTGTGCTTCAGTCCTTTCATGAAGGGCCTTCTCAAGAGGGCAGCTCAGTCTCCAGGGCTCATTCATCCCTTGGATGCTCCATAGCAAAGCCAGTAAGCTTTAGTCTTACTGTGTTTCTGAGGGCATAAACATGTGTCCTACTGGAAATGGAAAGAAACCTACAATTCATTCCACACAGGCCAGTATTAAAAATGTAACAAGACATACACACGCACACATACTTGCCCTATCCTACCACCTATTGACCCTGCCACCAATACCATTCCTAATCTCTAGTCAATTCTGCTTACCCCCCCCACTAATACAGCCCTCTCTCCTACAAGCCTACCCCTGACCCTAATAATCACTGCTAAAAGCCATACAGCTCCCTCCCAGTACTCATGACCCTGTTAATCCCCAAAAGCAGATGCCACAAGCTCACAACTCCTATCTCCCCTGCTGCCCACCTCTTGCCCCCTCACACTGCTGAAGTGAAGGTTTTCATCTTAAATCCACACCTAACATGCTTGAGTAGGGTACGGCCATAAAGGCAGGAAGGGCAGAGGGTTTTCTCCCGTGTGGGTTCTCTGGTGTCTCTTGTGGTGGGAGCTGCGGCTGAAGCTCTTCCCGCAGTCAGAGCATGTGTATGGTTTCTCTCCCGTGTGAATTCGCTGGTGTCTGATCAGGTTTGAGCTCACATTGAAGCACTTCCCGCAGTGAGCGCACTCATAGGGCTTCTCGCCCGTGTGGATGCGCATGTGCTTGACCAGGTCTGAGTTCTGGCTGAAGGTCTGCCAGCACTCCGCGCACGTGTTGGGGAACTCGATGGTCGGGGTTTTCTTCTTGGATGCTTTGGTTTCTTTGACCTTCTTGACGGTAGGGCTTTCCTGATGGGAGTATTTACTCTGCTTCTTCCCAGGAGGGCTCTTCAGCTGTCTCTTATGCTGGGAACTCCGGCTGAAGGTCTTCCCACAGTCGATGCATTTACAGGGCTTGTCTCTTGTGTGGATACACTGGTGCTGGGTCAGGGTGGCCTTGCTGGTGAAGCTCTCCCCGCAGTCGGAGCAGATGAGAAGTTTCTCCCCCGTGTGGGTTCTCTGGTGTCTGATGAGGTTCGAGCTCACACGGAAGCTCTTCCCACAGTCAATGCATTTGTAGGGCTTCTCCCCTGTGTGGATTCTCCGATGGTTCAGAAGGTCAGAGCTCTGGGTGAAGCTTTTCCCACACTCGATGCAGATGTTTGGCTTTTCTCCTGAATGTGTCCTCTGGCGGACGATGGTGTCTTTGCGTTTCCTTACGCCTCTCCCGCGGTGAGTCGATTTACTCTCTCTCTCCTCCGGATGGTTTTGCTGCTGTGCTTCTAATCTGCCCTGACTCTTCAGGTTTTTCCCTTGCTCTGTGTTCTGAGACACGTTTCCTTTGGATCGTTTTGGAGACATTTCTGGGAGTTTCTCAAAGACAAGGGTTTGCTTGGTTATCACTCACAGTCCTAGCACCTGCTGAGGTAAGGGGAGAATCCAAACATAAATCATCCTCTGTGTCTGGTGAAGTGAACTAGGAATCATCTAATGAGACAGTATTATAGAGTAGAGGGTTTTTTACCTGATGTTTGATTATTCTTGTTGCTGAAAAACATGCCACAACTCCAATTTGAGCTTGGATGATCACATTCAGACACTGGTTTCTTTATGTTTTTTTTCTCTGTTGGGTAAAAAGCCCTCTACATAGAATTTGAGGAATTCTTGCTCATCAGAGAAAAATCATAAAGGAATCTATATTATTAGATGGCTTTTTACCCAAAAGCATAGAGAAGCCAATGCCTGAAGTATGTGACCAGAAAAGCTCAAGTTGGAATTGTGGCATAATTTTTGGCAACAAGAATAATCAAACAGAGGAGCAGCTTAACAATGTGGTGGAGTCTCCATTATTTAAATGGCTTTAAATTAAATACATATTTAATTTCTCTAAGAAAGAAAATTCTGTATTTCCATCACAAGTAAATGGACTACATGTATTCATTTTACTAAGCAATATTCTATAGCCTGTGTTTTGGGGGGGAGTCAGACTACATTACGTGTTCCTTCAGCTTTCATGAATCATAAATGGCTCACAATTTTTTAATATGCCCTGCACCTAGTATATAAAGGTGCTGAACAACTACATCTCTCAGTAATTTCACTAGGGCCTTGGCACCTGTGTAAATTAGTTCCCTTCCCTATTTAAAATGCCTAGTCTGAAAACAGACTAATCTGACAGAGTCATCAAAATGCTCCCATACCTCACTTCGCAACCAACTAACCTCATAGTTACCTCGAGAGCTTTGCAGCCGGCCAAGATTTCTGTTGTAATTCTCCCCTGAGGTCAGGTCTTAATTTATGTATCAGTCCTACAAACATCCATAGGTAACTTCACCTACAGCTGCGGTCCCAATCCTTCAGTCCCCACTGCCTTGTACTTCACAAAGTCATGAACTCTTGTGTAGCATATGAGCAGACAGAGGAAGCAGTCGCTATATAGAGCTAAGTGTGACTTTGTAAAGCAGATGCAATTATACAGAGGATCCAGCCCCGAGACTAGAAGCTCTTTAAGGCAGGAAACTTATCTTACTTTTTCTACAGAACATCCTGCCCACTTTCGGGTATGTAAAAAATCAGCCGTGAAGAACAAGACTAAAGAAGCCTCCTTAAGGGATTTACCCCAGACACTGTCCCTGAAGGCAGAGGTGTAACTAATAAGTTTTGTGCTCTGGGCAAAACACCTGCTGGAGGATGGGGGTGCCAAACATGGGAGAGCAGGGAGGTGGTCAGGGTGGCCAGTCTTACCTGTCCCAGGGTCTCAAAGACCCCAGCGGTTGCTGCCCCATCGCTGTCTGTCTGCCCCCGGCTGTTGCAGATCAGCTGCTTCAGTGGCGTGCTTGCTGTCCCTGACCCGGCTGCTAACGCTGTGGTGCAGGGCTGCTGCTACCCCCGGCAGCTGGGGGGGCTGCAATTCCAGCGACCCCTCCAAGTCAGTGCCCAAGGCTGGTGCCCCTCTTGTCCACCCCTAATTAAGCTACTGCCCAAAGGCAGCCCCCAGTTACACTACCGCCTGAAAGCAGGCCATTTCTCTCAGTGGTAAGGGCAGGAACTGGCTGTTCCTCTGCCTGCTCCTCAGATTACAATAAGATCCTTGATTAGTCAAAAAGAAATATTGATAACATTACTTTTACAGAGTTAGCTTTAATAATGATGTATGGAGAGATGCAAGAAGTTAGTCTGGGCAAAGCTTGGAGTTGGTAATCTCTTTCCTCACTTACTTCCCCTTCCAGCCTCTCCCTTTTCCTCTTTTCACCCTCTCCCCTCTCTCCTGGCTGGGGCACTTGGTCAGTGTCCTGATCCCCTATGTGGACTGCCTCCTGCTAGTGCTACTGGGAGCAGCAGTGAGAGCTTGCGTGCATCACTGCTGGCAGCAGCACTGGGACTCGCAGAGCCCTGGAGAACAGAGATGACTGAGACGGGGCTGTGTGCGCAGAGTCACTGCCTTGCCCATCCCCAGTGTTTTCCCCAAGGTCTCTCTCCATTACCTGGAGCCTCCACCTTAGGAGCTGGTGTTGGTAGAGCCTGGGGCTGCCCTACAGAGCTAGTTCCAGTCACCGGCGCCCCTGGGCTGGGCACAGAGGGAGCTTTAATTAAGGTCTCTCCTGGGCACAGACCCCGCTGGGGGATCAGCAGCTGCTCAGTCCGAATTCCTGGCTCACAATGGAGGCAGCAGCAGCTGCTTCTGACCCAGGAAGTTCAACCCCTAATATCCTGGTCAGAGGAAAGAAAGACACAGGGAAGCCCCCTTCTCTTTCCCCTAGCAATAACCAGAGCCCTCTGGTGACAACAGCTAACGAGAAGGTTGTACAGTGCATTACTGACGTCAGTCGAGCAGTGTAACGTTTTTAATGCAAATGACTTTTTTGGGTTAAGCACTGTCTGAGAAGTTACCATGTGCGAGGGGGAGAGGGCAGGCTGCCCCCAGAAAGTAAGCATGTAGCAGTGGAAGCTGGAACTGGAAAGCCTGTGGCAGCAGCCTTGTGCAGGAGGAGATCTGGCTTTGAATAAAAGCCCTTGTGACAGGGATGTGGAAATACCTGACTGACAAGCACAAAGCGCACACACTTCCGACGCGCTTGCAGCAGTGGCTACAGCTCTTTGTTCTACGCGGATCCCAGCTGGTTGGGCCGAGCAACAGGAGCCCCACAGCGCCCTGGCCAGGCTCTGTCTAGGAAGCTCAGCGCAGTCTCTAGTACTACACAGGAGTCTTTGCCTTCCCCCATGCCTGCCTGCCAGCTCTCAAAGAGTACCACCTTTCAATCCTCTTCTTGTTCAGGGACACCCCGCAACTCTCCACAGGGCCGTGCATCCTTTGCTCCCCCCTCCCCACTATGCTTGGGGGTCACCTATTCTCCCCCAGGCAAGAGGTTCTGTGTTGCCCCATTTCCTTTCTCCCTTATACCATTGTCTCTCCTTCTCAGTCCCATAGCTGCAATGCTCTGTGCCCCCCAAATCACCTTCCTGCTATGCCTTCCAACAACCTTCAAGCCCTGGTTCCCCAGGCTCCTCCCACAGTGGAGGATTCTTCTTTCCTTAATGAAAACCAAGACTGTATCTGAGACAGAGAGTCTCAGTGAGATGTGCTGTCTAGGTCTTTGAGCAATCCCTGGACCAAGGTACCTATTAGCTCCTATGTCTGTGCTCTTCAAAGAACCCGCCAAAAAAAAATCCCAAGTTTCCGCAGAGCCTCCCTCAAACCAGGGAGACTAGAATCTGCTCATTTCCATCCTCAGCTCCTGCTTCCAAAGATTCAGGAGGCCAATGAAAATGCAACCTTAATAGCACATCTCTGTTAGTCAGGATACCTGCTTGGTAACCTCAAGGTGGTAGACATCCTTACTGCGCTATAGGGTCTCACTGTCTCTGTGACTCCCATCACCAGGGTATCTGAGCACTTCACAAATACTAATGGATTTATTTCCCCAACCTCCTGTGAATGACATCAGTGTTATTTTCCTTATTTGGGGAAATTGAGTCATAGAGGATAAATTATCAATGAAACTCTCAACATGCAGCAACTGCAACTGAGAACTGCCATCCAGCTTCAGAGATGTTTTTCTCCATGTCTTTCACACTGGGTCATCCAACACAGTGTGTTTCCATCCAGGGTGCAGGATTCAGTGTCAAGGGTGAGATGCCACCGGTAACCAGTGGTGACTTCTCCACATAAAAGTCTGAAGATCACCTTGGTGGTATTGTTACCACAATCAGGACAATAAAAGGAATGCATAAATGATGACAGTCTCCAGGAAATAGATAAGCACTAATCAGTACAACTGAACATCCTCTATTCACTATCTATGCAAGCTGCAGGCTGGGAACAAACAGCACTATCATCTGAGATAACTGCAAGCAGAAATCATATTTAAGGACAGCTAAGGACACACTATGCCCACCCAAACCCTTCCAAGCATGGGAATGAGGAAGAAATCTGCACTTCTTGCCAGCTCCACCTCCTTTACTCTCTTATCAGTAACTTGTGTTGTAGTGCAGGCTCACGAATTTGCAACGTCAGTACATCTGGCCATCATATAATCATTTCTTGTGTACTGTTATTTTGATTTTCACATGACAGCATAAGTGGGATGAAGCTGGGATGTTGTAGCTTGTTAACCTCCTGTGGAGATGGAAGTAGGTACCTTATGGGACATCTCTTTCACCCAACACTTCAATACAGGCCACATCTTTACCTAGAGGTTTCTCTAAGTGCTGTCTTTCATCCCTTAATGTATGTCTCAGGGAGGTGCAGGTGAGCAGTGGAGACTTTCAGGATATGACTGAATGGTTCCCTGTTTGGGCATCTCAACAACCCACCAAATGCCTGAGGAGAGCAGAGAGAAGGCAGCAGGATTGGAGCATGAACTCTCAAATAGCAGCACAAGCTGCAACCTCCTCTGAGTACTAGTAACACCCATGTCTTGTATGGTGCATTTCTTCAGTAGATCTTAACGCACTTTACAAAAGGTCAGGATCTTTATCCTCATTTTTAATATTGGGCAAGTGAGACACAGAAAATGGAAGTGTCTTGCCCACAGTCATCCAGCAAGCCGGCAAGAGAGCCAGCAAGAGGACCCAGTTCTCCTGAGTCACAGCCTAGTGCTTTATCCAATAGGCAAAACTGCTCTGAAGAGAAACCAGGATTTACTGGGAATTGCTCATATTTAGTTGCTGGGTAATCATAATAATACTGAGTAGTTATATAAGCATGTTTTACCCAGAGATCTGAATTGCCCTTCACACAGCTGGCTAGAGTGCCACTGTCCTTGTTTTGGGGAAGAGACATAAACCAGCTGGTGGCAGGACTGGAAATGAACCCAGGGCTCCTAAATCCTCATTTGATATCTTAGTCATTAGACCATGCATTTCAAGCCCCAGACAAACCCCTTTAATAGTCACTATAAAACTCTCTGGGATGTTTTGCTCTCCATCCCTGTGAATCAGATTGTTGTGCAGCACAGATTTTGTTAGTATCACAAAGACTTTTCCATGGATGTTAACAGCAAAAGAGTGTAGGTGTCATCATTTAGTCTCACCTTCTACATGTATAGGCCAGAAAAATTTATTTAGTGGTGTTTGTGTCCTGACCAATAACTCAGTTGATTTTAGTCTTTCTTCTGCATTAAAGACAACCACATACTTTTAACAAGATACAGTAAGCTAAAATAAAATAAAATAAAATAAAATACAAAAGACCTTTTGAAAGGCAGCATAGAGAGCAAGGTTCATCCCCTGAAACAGCATACAGTCTGAACAGAGAGAGGCCAGAGAGAGGAAGAAGCTTGAGAAGCTAGTGTGATTGATCAACCAATGGCATTTGGCACCTGTTATCTGAGTCCCACCATTTTAAAATCTATTTATTGGCCCCGATCCTGGGTTCAGTGCAATATCAGGAAGGAAGTGCAAATGTAACATCAAGCAAACTTTTACGCTCTGGCCATACCAGAGGCACTTGACTGTGACACCCTTGGCTGCTGTCAGCTGTTTTGGTTGCCAGTGGCTTCAAGAGTCCAGCAGAGCAGCCAGAGAGTGTGCTGTAATGTGGGGCTCAAAGGAAGATCGAGGAATAAGCATAAACAGTGAGCTGTAGGTGCCATTGTGACCAAACAGACACTTGATACTTGGTAGTACGCCATGTGTACCAGACCTTTGAGTCAGCAGGCCTTGATGGGTTTCCTGTAGATGCACACAAGGCCAGGAAACAAAGATTCTTTACCATGGCAGGTGGGAAAAGAGTAGGGAGCAGGCATCCCCAATACAGAGCAGACTCACCCAGTCAGACCTCTACTAGTGCAAATGCCACAGCATCACCGGAGTCATTAGAGCTACTCTGATTCACAACCAGTTGAGGTTCTAGCTCATTATGTTTAAATATGTCTATGGTCCACTGTATAATTACAGGATTTCTTCCTGTCCATGTAGACAGAAAATCAAACATGTTATGGGTCCACGATACTGTTTATAGATGTTCCAGCCTTCAAACTTGACTTTTTAGCAAGACTAGAACTTGTTTTTCTTTCTGGACCTGAAAAGAAAAAGTGTGCTATAGACACAGGGCCCTATCCACACAATGGCTAGCACCAGGGTCCCGGTTACAACACAGATGGCTTTTACACAATGACAATGTAGTGGAAAGATGTCATGCCCACAGGACCTACTTATATGTTTGCACATGGGTCAAAGCCTGCATTTTTAACCCATTCATGGTAAACTAAATTTGGTGCCATTTCCATTACAGTTTGTATCTGCCTTGTAGCTGGATTCCCTTATTTGGGGATGTTATTGTGAGGCTGAACCCAAATGTGCTTCCTAGCTGTAAGTTAGCGACAGAAAACATGGCGTCTGTAAGTTAGCAACAGAAAACACAGAGGAATTAGTCACTGAGCCCCAAGGAGACAGTCCAAAAGAAGACACTGAGCAAGACTTGCCCCTTAGGTCTCCAAATCTAATGCACAAGAAATATTTTCAAGTCCACCCCAGTCATAGAAGACACTTAGTTGGTGGTTTCCCTAGGCTTGGCTAGCCGTCTCTTTCCATGCTGCTCCCCCACCCAGCACCTTTGGGAAGAGAACACACTTGTGCCCAAGTCCACCTGGCTCCAGGATTGTTTTGCTGACTGGATCAGGAAATTCTGATTCAAGAATTTCTCCTTTACCTTTATATACTCCACCACGGCATCTCCTGCATCTTCTTCTGTCTGGTGACAAGAAAAAGTGGGGAGAGAGAGAGAAAGAGGGCAGGAGGAAGGTGAGGAGACCAAAAGAAAAAGGGAGAAAAATAAGGGCCAGTCTCTTCATTGTCATTAGCATGTGCATTTCTGTAGCACAGAGCCATCTGAGATCAAGGCCCCACTGCACTAGTCTCATAGACACATAGTGAGAGACAGTCTTTGTCCTGAATCAGCCCACAGAGCTGCTTCTTTGCACAGTTAGTTCAGTTTAGTGATGGGCTGTAGCAAAACGATCAA